TTTTTTTCGTTATTTAATTCTGCAGGGTACGCCACTCACATTGTTGGCAAATGGCATCTCGGTTACTTCAAGTGGGAGTACACCCCGACGTACCGGGGATTTGACACGTTCTACGGGTTTTACCTTGGAGCCGAAGATCATTGGACGCATAAGCGGMTGGATATATTGGATCTTCGAGACCAGAAAACTCCTGACAAAAAGCAGGACGGGGTTTATTCTGCACATCTATTTTCGCAGGTATCGTATGTCYAATTKCACGTGCCCAGGCCGTAGMCCTGTGGCAGGTCTTCCAAGTTGAAAGCTGAAATTAAATGACGCCATAACCGTTTATATATATACCCTATGAATATAATGTGTGATGGATACAGAGGAAGCGTGGTATCCATAGGAAGGAGGGTTGCTATMGCACGATAAAGGAGTCAGTTCTTTGCAGTGGCTCTATTTGGCTCACATACATAGCAGCAATGCACGACGGTAGCCAGAGGAAAATGCCAACCGCGGCAATGGACTATGCTACCAAAGGTGCTCATTTGGCGTAGAAACGCATGTAAAATATACCTGTTATGACTTGGCGAAATTAAGTACACGCGAAAAGTACGAATAGGGTAGCTAAATTACTTCATCATGTAACAATTTCCAAYGTATTGTTCATGTTCTTAGCGAGCAGAAAAAATAATTGCCGAACACAATACGTCAATGCCATTGTTTCTTTACCTGCCYTTCCAAGACGTCCATGGCCCAACGCAAGCACCAGATGAATTCGTCAACAAGTACCAGTTTATTACTAACAAAGTTCGACGTACGTACGCAGGGATGATGAGCGCTGTAGATCAAGCAATTGGTAATATCACCAAGGCTATCAAAGACAAAGGGTAAGAATAATCGAGTTTTTATAGAAAGGAAACTATGACAATTCTGTACGTGAATGATAGGAAAGAAATGTTGAAAGTTTTGGTATAAATATTAGGCATAGTAGGTATATATGCAGGGTACTAGGGGTATTTGTAGTGCAGGGCAACTCCGGATACTGAAGTCGCCGTACCTCTGAGGGTGCTTTCCATTTAGGTAGTCATTTCAGTCATTTTTATAGAATAATGGATAGAATCTTAAAATTTGAATTTTCCAACTAAATTGGAATGATATATAATGACATTTTCTCTGGGTCTGGCCAGCCAATTCTGACAAATGGAAAGCGCCCTGAGTGTCTCTGTGCTATTTTAGCCCTAAAAATATCTTTGCGCGCGATTTTGAGTGACTTTGGGGGTAAATAGTCGCCGTGACTTTGAGGCMGACTTGCATGGTAGCGATTTTATACTTTTTAGCAATTCTACCCCTAAATGCCATTCCAAGCTTAAATGGACTTTGAGAGAGTTGGGGTGATTTTGAGAGATTTTGACATAGTTTAGACCCGGGGTTTAGACTATAACGGCCCGCCTCCCTAATTCCGGATACTCAACCCCCTCTCGTCGTAATTATTGCGTWGTCCTTTGAGCATATAGAAGACATAGAAGTCTTAATCAATTTCTTTTCTTTTCTCGAAATAGATTATGGGACAATACATTAATAATATTTACAACAGATAACGGAGGCATACCTCCAGYGGGTGGCTACAATTGGCCTCTACGAGGGCACAAAGCAACCTTATGGGAGGGAGGGGTGAAAGGAGCTGGATTTGTACATGGAAAGATGGTTGAGAAGAAGCCAAGGGTATGCAATGAGATGATYCACGTGACTGATTGGTATCCAACGCTGGCGTCACTCGCAGGTATGTTYATACTATRTATGAACCCTTTTTTACACTTATAAAGTGCTCAGCACTCTAGMAGTTGCGTGCGTTTTTGTGCGAACTACAAACTTCTCCATTTTATGCAGATGTATCAACAAGATGACATAAAAGAAAAATTTATTTTGGTTCTTTTTTTAAACATCTCTTCAGTTGGGGAATTTGCGAAAATCATACTTTTTTCAGTTATTGACACACTCGCTCTAATATAGCAATCCATTAATGTGATAGAAGAATGTATTTTCAAATATAACGATTTGATTCAGGTGTAGAGCCRCCTTCAGGAATTGATGGCTTCGATGTCTGGAAGACCATCTCGCAAGGCGACCCTTCGCCCAGGACCGAGATACTTCACAACATCGATATGGATACCTCGTTTGACAGGACRCTAGCCGGACATCAAGGTGCTGCGCTACGTGTAAACGATATGAAGCTTTTAGTAGAAGTGCCAAATTCCACTTGGTTCAAACCTCCAGAGTTAGGAGGTRAAACACCAAAGGTAAATATCTCTATAAGTAAAAGAATCAAATTACAAGACTCAAGATCGAGAAATTTGACCAAMACTAGCTTTGTCGTGAGTGAGTTAGTGACTGTAACAAATTTATTTACATTTTTTTAATCGTCTACCTGGCCAATTGATGCGCGGACAGAGATTCGGCTAATGTAGCTACGTGGCAAATCAGTCGCACCGCCCGATTTTCCGATGAAGTAAAAATTGTGAATTATTTTGGTTGGGCCGCCTGTGCATTACTAGCCCAGGCATCTGAACTACGTTTACGTGTTGAATTTCATAAAAATTTTGTTCATATATGGCCACCATGGCGTAGGGAGGGGGGAGAGAAAAGGGGCTACGCCCCTGCCTGTGGACGAATATGCATGATGGTGTTGTTTGTATTGCTGTACCGCAGTGCACCGTGACCTTGTATTTCAGAAATTAGTCCATGTACTCTCCTAGYAATGGACAGTCTCAGAATTTAATTACATGAAACTAAATGCATTCTATTTACAGCMACAACGTTCAACCATTCATCTGGCGTTGTTCAACATCACCGCTGAYCCAAATGAACGGAATGACCTTAGTGAAAAACTTCCCGATGTGCTCAGCAGTCTTAAGGAACGTCTTGAATATTACATGAAGGGCGTGGTACCATCACGGAAACAACCTCCTGATCCATTGGCCAGAAAAACAGCAGAAAGACAAGGTTATTGGGGCCCGTGGATGTCGTAGATAGACACGAGTATACGCATGTGTTTTTGAAGCTATACCAAACAAATATTTCCCTCGTTGCTAATACTTAGCAAATGCGCACGGTTTTTCGTTGTATGTCCTCTTATTGACACACTCCTGACGTGATCATTAAATGTTCAAAACTTAAGTGGACCCACGAGCGCAGCGTGTGCAATTTGTTTTTTTACCACATTTTTAGTCTAAATATATTAGCGAAAATCAGTCTTTTCTTTCAATTGAGCGCGCGCGCGAGACGTGTTGTCAGCACAGTGTGCCACAGGCAGCCCAAGCTAAGCATTTAACTAGCAGATATAGCAATATCTATAATGCATGTAAATACGAAATTTTTGAAAGAAAAAATAAGTAAAAAACATTTGACCTACCTTATGATGTGGTCTTAGTTATGAATTTAGGCGTAATTTGCCGTTTTTCTTTGATATCTCGGAGATATTGCATTATAGATATTGCTATAATCTGCTAGTTAAATGCTTAGCTTGGGCTGCCTGTGAGTGTGCATGTCCTCAATCAACCAATCAGCGCGCGAGAATTTACATAAGTGTGATAAAAATAAAATTGGAGAAAGTAGTATGATTTGTAACACTTTCCCCAAATTGTTCAGTCCGTCTATCGAGAAGACTTTTAGAAAGATGTTATTTTCCTACCTGCGATAACWCGATGTAGAGAGACATAGATAGAGAGATCGAAAAACTCAGAGAGAAAATTGAAAAAATTGAAATGCAAGTCTTGACATCCATGTCACCTACACTAGCGTTACATATCTGTAGTGTAAAGTCAAAAGTCAATTTTCTTGTTTTTGTTTATTTGTTGTTGTTTTTGTTTGTTTTAAACGCAATAATAACCATCCGAAAAAATAACTCTTAGTAGTAGTAGTGTAACCAAGCGTGAACAATGTACAAATGTAAGTCATTGTCAGGTGTTCAAAGTGTCAGTATGGAGGTTGCTTGAAAGCAACCCGAGGGACCATCCCCGGTTGCCCAGGTAATCTTCAGCCGTCGAGGAATGAGGGACAGGAGATTACCAGCTCTGGGCTCCCAAGGATTCCCTGGTTTCGCATTAAAAGGTTAATATTGTTGTTGTTTACTTTTCAAATAAAACATTTTGTTAGTTAACTTCTTCCTAGTGATGGGAATCCTGTGATATTCCGGTGGGGTTCCTGTGGCATTCGCCATGTTGGATTGTCTACAGCCTGGATTGTCTATAGTTGAGAAGCTCTTCTCGTCTATTCCGATGTTGTCCAAACGATTGCTGTATGCTTTAGGATACAAATCTCTGCGTTTTTGGCTCCTTGTTGTAGCTGCTTTTCTATTTGTCTTATTGATTTATAAACCACTTGTATTTTACTATCTGATCCATTATGTTAAAATGTTCGTTCTTGAAGTCCTCGCCGACGATGAAAGGCTGCTTGCAAACGACGTCCAAATTGCTGAAAAAGAATGGAGATTGTAYCAGTTTGAATGGCACTACGGRCAACGRTGGTGCAAAGACAATGATATYAAATCTAGACCGGATTGGACATGGCTGACCGCGATGGTGAATGATGATTTTGCTGTRCCAGCTCTAGTGCTTGGATACTCGTTGCAAAAGCTCTCTTGTCAGAAGAATATGCTGGCTTTGGTGTCTAAAAACGTGTCAAATTCTGCTAAAGAAGCACTTGAGAAAGTAGGTTGGACTGTAAAAGTAGTCGAAGGACTTGATTGTGACTGGATTGAGAGACAAAAGGGACTTCCTGAGTCACATATGGGCTATATAGGAACMCATACAAGRCTTCATGCWTGGARTTATACTCAGTACTCCAAGATTATATATGCTGACCCAGATTACATGCCGATGACCAGGATAGATGAGTTGTTTGAGATCGATGGTGACTTTGCTGCAAGTTCTTGCTCAAGACCTGGAATACTTGATCCTTGTTTTAATGCTGGTTTGTTGGTATTTCGACCTGGTACCAACTACTATAATGAAATCATGGACCTTTGGTGGAAAACTACAGATGA